GCACCATGTTGTATCACAGTTGTCTACTGAAACAAATCACCCTTTCGTAGTCAATGGGAATTCAGAAAATTAGATCCTCGAACTTTTGCTAAAAAGTTTACAGATATTTGTAAATAGACAAACAGCCTGGTGATTAAGGATATACATTCTTTTTCTTTTCATATTCCAGACCTGCCACATATTCACTGTATGATCATCCAAAGTGTCTCTGTTGTATTGATTCCTACTTCCTGCACTTTCAGACCCACGTATTCAGAACTAGGAAACTTTGAGAGTGCCAGGTGGTGAGTATTGCAAATGCCCAACAATTCACTACAGAAGTATAAATAATCAACCTAACCTCGCTTTGCCGCCAACATTTTCTCACAACACTCAAAAGCCTAGAAACCTCCTTTTCTTAATGGTGGCGCCGGTTCAACCACACTCTGGTAGGTATTGGTTTCCTTAAGTACAATGTGGAGCCATCCGAATGAAAGAGCAGCATGAGGGAAAAGGACAGTGTGAGGCTTTGTGGTCTATAGATTTAGCTACTCATACAAGAACCTGGAAGGAAGAAACCCCCAAAGATTAGTCACTTCATTTTGTGCTGCAGAACTCGATTCAGGTTAACAAAGCATTTGCCAACAAAGGAGATGGGAGAAGGGCAGGATTCACTTGCTCTGGACTGAATAAACAAATGTGGTATTTGTGGGCTGACTAATGTCCTGGGATAAACCAGGCAGTCAGCCAAATTCCAGGAGTTTTCATGAAAAGGCAGTAAGCCCACACTTTTCTTCATAAAAAATGCTCCCTGGGAGTATCCATGCCCACAAGGACAGCCTGACTCTTCAGCTAGCCTTAAAGATTCATCCATATTCAGCCACAGGGAATTCTCAATGCTTCTGTAATTAAAAACCTAGATTAAGTGATAGAAGCTGAATCCCTTCTTCTTAGGAAGTGTTAAATATGCCATTCATCTCCTTTTTAAAATGTTATCAGATGTATCATTGGCAAATATGTTCTTCTATACAGTGGGCTCCCTTTTAATTTTGTGGATGGTTTCTTTTGCTGTGCAGAAGCTTTTTATTTTGATGTAGTCCCATTGTTTATTTTCTCCTTTGTTTCCTTTGCCCTAGATGTACCCTCAAATATATTGCTACAAGAGATGTCTGAGATTTTGCTGCCTATGGTTTCTTCTAGAATTTTTAATATATCACAACTGACATTTAAGTGTTTTATCAATTTTGAGTGTTTTCTTATGTATGGTGTAAGTTGGTGGTCTAGTTTTTTTTGCATGTATCTGTCCAATATCCCAACATCATTTACTGAAGAGATTGTCTTGACTCCATTTCATGCTCTTGCATCCTTTGTCAAATATTAATTGAGAGTAATGGCTTGGGTCAATTTCTGGGGTGTCTCCATTGTTCTGTTCCATTGACATATATGTCTGTTCTTGTGCCAGCACCAGGCTGTTTTAATGACAGTGGCTTTGTAGTATAACTTTGTATCTGGTATTGCAATCCCTCCAACTTTGTTCTTTATAGAGAGGATGTGAAGAAAAGAGAACCCTAGTACACTGCTTGTGGGAATGCAGACTGGTACAGGCACTATGGAAAACAGTACGGAGTTTCCTCAAAAAATTAAATATAGAACTGCCATTTGGTCCAGCGTTCCCACTGCTATGCATATATTCTAAGAAATCTGAAACACCAATCAGAAAGAATATATGCACCCATATATTCATAGCAGCACTATTTACAATTGCTAAGATCTGGAAACAGTGCAAGAGCCCTTCAGTAGACCAGTGGATAAAAAAGCTGCAGTACATTTATACTATGGAATACTATGCATCAGTAAAAAAGGAGGATCTCTTACCCTTTGAGACAGCATGGAGGGACCTGGAGAGTATTATGCTAACTGAAATAAGCAGTCAGAGAAAGACAGTATCACATGATCTAATGCAATCTAATGAACAAAACAGACTGATGAACAAAATAGGTCCAAAGACATAGAAGCATGGAACAGACTGACGAACCTCAGAGGGAAGGCTAGAGCGGGGAGAGTTTAACCAAAGAACTTGTATGCATATATGCATAACCCATGAACACAGAATATAGTGTGGTGAGGGGCTAGGTGGGGGCGGGGCCTGGGTGGAGGGGATCAATTGGAAAAAAAGGGGGACATATGTAAGAGTTTCAACAATGAATATAATTTTTAAAAATGTGTTATCACTGTCCCTTTTTAAATACTGCATTGCCCTGAAAAGATATAATTAGGCCATTAAAATGTGACTTTGGCTCTATCTTTCTATTTATTCATTCATTTTATCCATTGTCTTCTATACGCTCCCAGGCCCCATGTTGGGTTCTGGTGACTGAGTCAGACACAGACTATGCCCTCAGAAGCCCCCAGGCCAGCCTTGACAATTTCAAGGCTGGATACTGGAAGAGTAATACAATCTTGTCATTTTATTTTTGATTAAAGGAGAGTATTAAAATTTGCAGGTTTTTTTAGTGGAAAAGGCCATAAGTCCCTCTAGTAAGGTCACAATATAAGACAAGAGTAAGGGGTCTCTCTTTATCTGGCCACCAAGGTCCCCCACAACGGTGTGAGCGGACCATAGTCATCACTTAACGCTAGGCTAATGTCGATTATATTACAGACCACAGCTTGTGAAATGCAAGGACTACGTTTCATCATTCTTGACTCAAAGAAAACTTCCCTGCTGGGGAAAGAGCACTTACAACCTTCTTTAAACCTATAAGGCTGGTTTATCTACCCAGATCAGAAATGTGTGTGAGGTGTGCAGGCAAGAAACAAAGTCTCCGTGTGACTCGATGTGAATATAAAAGGAAGCAGAGGGAGAAAGCTCACTGACTGAGTCCACATACAGCCAGCGCTCTCTGGGTCTCCACGAAGATCTCCAGCCTTCCCTGGAATTTAGAGCCTTCTTTACTGGTATTTGCCTACCTCCGAGCTTTCA